ATACATTAACATTTATGTTATGGGTTACATTATTACTTTATTTACATTAGCCTAATGTAAATAACAACAATTTAATTTTTATTAAGAAATACCGAAATCCACAACTAGATAATAATATTAATAGACTAAAATTATTCAATTAAAAATTAATAGATAAAATTTGAGGGACAATAAATTTAATCAAAATTATTTATTAATTAATTATACTTATTTAAAATAATTTAGATGTTTATTGATTAAATAATTAAAATTTTAAATTTAATATATTTATTAATGTATGTGTTTGTTAAATTAATTTTAAACTAGTAAATATAATTTAAATATTTAAATTAAATTTTTATTATTTTAATGCATAAAGAAGCTTTTAATTAAGGTTATGTTTGATTATTTAATAATGAATGAAATAAAATATGATACACATGAAATATGATGAAAATATTATTTTAAATATTTTATAACAGAATACAAATTGATTTTGTCTCATTTTTTTTTTTTTTGGTATAGGATTTTATCTCATCTTAAGCAAAGGAAAAACGAAAAAGGGAAGTATTTAAATAGAATAAAATAAGATATATTTGATTATAAGTTTTATTATATTGCATATGAAACATGTACCGTTGAATTTCATTTCATAGTATCTCGTCCATCTTCATCAATCAAAACTTAGCTTAGTGCTGAAAGAGTTAAAAAGGATCAAATAAAACTTATGGTTTTATTTTTTTTTTATGTGTTTTTAATATAAAATAAACATGAAATTAAAAGGAGATGTAATTTAAATAAAAATGAAAATAAATAATAATTAAATAAACGGAAGGTTTTATTCTGCTTTATCCGCGTGCCGCCTATGCTATCTCTGATTCATATCATCAGGAGTCGTGTTGTAAACTGTGATGATCGATCTAAATCATCTGATCATAAATCCAAGAGTGACAACCATAGAAAACAAAATAAAATCCAAGTGAGATAAATAAATTCAGAGTGTAACAAAAAGAAATAATCACAGTGTATGTGTTTCTACACACAGAGAGCTTATTTTGTATATCATTTTTTTTATGGTTCACGTAATGTAAAGGAGTATTTTGCCCAATCACCAAGATTTTTATTTTTATTTTTTGAGGCTTGCTGACACTTATACGTGAATTACTTGTGTATAAGAATTTTTAATTTAATAATTAGATTGTTAAAATTTAATGTAAAATATGAATTATTAAGTGAAATAAGTCTATTAAGATATTTAAAATAAGTCTATCAAATTATGCTTATGAAAAAAACTTGTTATGAGAAAAGATTCCACTAAAAATAATCAACTAAGTTCCTTGTATAGTTCCTACACTTAAACAATTCATCTATTAACAATGGAAATATAAATTAACTATCTAAGACTAATTAGGGTGGGCAAAAAAAACTAAACTGAACTGAACTGGTAGTAAACTGTACTATAAAAAACTGAACTGTTTGTAAAAAAAACTGAACTGAACCATTTAAAAAAAAACTGAACTGGACTGAACTGTTGGAAAGTTGAACTATACTGAACTATAAAAACTGAACTAAATTATAAAAAAAATGAACTATTTTTATAAAAGGATAAAAATTAAATGTGTCTAACATATTTTGTCTTAATGGATTAGATCGATAGTCTAATGACCAAAACTTTGGAAGAAAAAAAAGTGATACAAAAAAATTGTATCAATTTT